CATTCGATTAAATTTGAGGGGAGTCTAAACTATAAACAACGAGGACCCCCCTTTTCAGCCTCCCTCACCCGCTCCTTAATCTCCAGCTGAAGAAGGGGCCCAGCAGAAGTTGATAAGAAGCAGGTGGCCGGCTAGACGGAGGGCTGTCCCGTCGCTAAGATGGTGATGGATGGTTGGAGTGGAAGAGGACCAGGCGCAGGGCTAAGTGGCCATCACGGTTGCTCGCTTTACACAGCCACCAAAATGCCGGTTCATTAAAACTCGTGATCACACGGGATTGCGGTGTACCTTTATATTAGTATAGGGATAAGCAAGACGCATTAAACTAACCTATAATTATGATTGTACTATACCTATATATTTGACCAGACCACACACTAGAAGGTGAAGGGACGACGACGTTTCGGTCCGTCCTGGACCATCCTCAAGTCGATTGTCGACTTGAGAATGACTCATCGCCTGCATACCTATATATTCATATCCAAAGTAAATTTTTAAACGAAACCATTTAGAACAAAACGATCTTATAAAATGAAAATAAAACAAAATTGTAGAGAGGGGCTTCTAAAATTTAAAGTAATGTAATTTAAGTCAAACCTAGCATAATTAAGATCATATAATCTGACCTAAGCCTATGTGAGTAGACACAAATGTAATCTTCAGAGTTTAAGTACTTGGAAGAAAGCTCGAGACTCTGATAAGCCAGAGAGCTGAAAATCCGAACTAGTTTAGCTTAAAAGTAATTAGCGAACAGCTAGAATGGCCAAAACCGGAAGGTAATTGAAGGTAACTCCATATAGTTACGAAATTAGAGGCGACAAAACAAACGCTTCACATGAGGCGAGAAACAAACGTTTCTCAAGAGGCGAGAAACAAACGTTGCTACACACAGTCACTTCCGTACAGTTCGTGAATCAAAGCGAGCATGTATTGGTGTATTTACTATTTGTACCTGCAGAATCGACCTGTTAGTTCTAGGGCCCCGCCTTTATTTCTTCCCGTCGGTTGTTTAATGTACTGACATCCGACCTAATTTTCTGTATCAAATATACTTCATACAGTAGTGTGTGTGTGTGTGTGTGTGTGTGTGTGTGTGTGTGTGTGTGTGTGTGTGTGTGTGTGTGTGTGTGTGAGGGGCGGTGCTCACAGAATAACGGCTGACATGGCCTCGGGAGTCACAGCTGCGTAACGGGAGTCACGTATCATTGACGTCACAGCCAAGTGCTTCTCCAACTCCAGTAATTGGAACTGTACCATATAATATTAAAATATTTGTACACATTTCTCCTATTCTTCGAGATCCTTGTACCTTCTTCGGCTCTTCTTCCATCAAATCCTTTAAGCTTGCCTGGTTAGCGCAGAAGGTTCACAACTGATGTGTCCCAGGATCGATTCCCGCGCGGCAGGACAGAGGCGTTTAGGCAACGTTTCTTTTCACTGGTTTATCTGTTAATCTAGCAATAAACCTGTTGCTGGAGTTAGGCAACTGTTGTGGGGTTGCATCATGTGGAAGGTCAGTAATTGTCTTAGGGAAAACCTCGATAAACTTAAGACCTTTCACGTAACCAAAATGGTAAAACGAAATATTTACTCTCTTTTCTCTACTTTCCATCTTCTCAGTTTCGTTATAATATTTACTCCGGCTTTTCTGCTCATTTTCTACTCTTCACATTCCCTCATGTCCTCTGTCTCCTCCTTCTCCAAGGTCTCAAATCCGTCATAATAAGCCATATAACTTGCCTTTTCCCATCTTCCCCCGAGCAATTGGTTCTGCCCTATTTTTTATGGTGCAATAAACAATGTACAGTCAAAGAGGCGACGTCTACCTGCATGGCTCAGTTTTTCTTTTTTAATTTCGGTCTTTTTTTATATAATGGTTTCATGTGTATGTGAATGAAATGTACATGAACGAGGCATATTCACAGGGACACTCATATACGTATGAATCGTTTTTTAAAAGCGTGTCTATGTATTGGTGAACTCACACCTAGTTGTGCTTATGGGGTTTGGGTTTCAGTTATTTTGTCCTGCTTTTACTATTTCGTCCACTGGTGTACAGGTGCCTCAGGCTTTTGGTTTGTGTGTCTGTGTGTACTCGTCTATTTGTTCTTGCGGGGGTTGAGCTTTGGTTCTTTGGTCCCGCCCCAAAACCGTCAATCAACTTGTGCAGTCAACTTCCGGGACGAACCTGGTGGCATACCGCTGAATCTTCTCTAACTTTGTCTTGTGTTTAACTAGGTTTTAACTCCAGGCTGGAGCTGCATATTCAAGGATTGGTCTGACAGAAGTGGTATACAGGGATAAGTGGTATAAAGTGTGTGTGTGTGTGTGTGTGTGTGTGTGTGTGTGTGTGTGTGTGTGTGTGTGTGTGTGTGTGTGTGTGTGTGAGTTTTTATGGGGTTTATTTTCATTAATCGTGAATAAATTTAATGTTTGCATTTATTGCCAATATTGCTCCTCTTGTAAATGGTTATATTTCCTTACAGTGTTTGTATCCACTAAATAGTAGTATAGTACTAAAAACTAAAGTAGTGTACTCAAGTATAGTACTTAGTATTGTAGTTATATAACATATAGTCTATATAGTATTAACTATAGTATAGTAGTTAGTAGTATAGTATTAAAATCCCCGAAAGGTCACTTCTAAAATATTTATTTTACTTCCTATCATTCAGAATTACTACATCTTCATCTTCCGTCTTCTCCATGGTAAATTATTTTCAGCTAATTAAAATCGTTGTATTATTGATCTTTTTTTTAAATCGTGAATCATACAGTATGCTGACATGTTAATATCGTGTCCACTTTATCCTTTCTTCACTACTTGTTACTTTTACTATTCCATTTTATTTTGCAACTAATATTTTTATTTAGCCATGGTTTTATCTTTATGACTTTTTAAAACTATCTTTTTTTTTAAATGTCAGATAGTTTGGTCAATACTTTAAATTTATCCATAGGTTGATAAGAGGTCTCACTTTAAAGGGAAAAATAGATCCTGCCGAATGTTCATTAATCAACCCATCCTCCTAAAGTGATAATCCTTGTAGTAACTACGGTCGAAAGTACTATTCTGCAGTTATGGACTACCAGAAAGTACTAATATTTTGAGAAGAACCACCAGAAAGTGCCAATATTTTGTGTTGAACCACCAGAAAGTACGAATATGTAGTGCTGGACCACTAGAAAATAACAATATGTATTGATGGACCACTAGAAAGTACCAATATGTAGTGATAGACTACCAGAAAGTACCAATATATTGTGATGGCCCATCAGAAAGTACCAATATGTTGTGATGGCCCACCAGAGAGTACCAATATGTAGTGATGAATCACCAGAAAGTACCAATATGTTGTGATGGACCACCAGAAAGTACCAATATGTAGTGATGGACCACCAGAAAGTACCAATATGTTGTGATGAATCACCAGAAAGTACCAATATGAAGTGACAGATCACCAGCACCAATATGTAGTGATAGACCACCAGAAAATACCAATATGTAGTGATGGACTACCAGAAAGCACCAATATGTAGTGATGGGCCGCCAGAAAATACGAATATGTAGCGATGGACCGCCAGAAAATACCAATATGTAGTGATGGACTACCAGAAAGCACCAATATGTAGTGATGGGCCGCCAGAAAATACGAATATGTAGTGATGGACCACCAGAAAGTACCAATATGTAGTGATGGGCCGCTAGAAAATACCAATATGTAGTGATGGACTACCAGAAAGTAACAATATGTAGTGATGGGCCGCCAGAAAATACGAATATGTAGTGATGGACCACCAGAAAGTACCAATATGTAGTGATGGGCCGCCAGAAAATACCAATATGTAGTGATGGACTACCAGAAAGTACCAATATGTAGTGATGTAGTGATGGGCCGCCAGAAAATACCAATATGTAGTGACAGACCACCAGAAAGTTTGCTTCTCCTATCTTAGACCTAATATAGTTACATATATGTGCTATAATAGGCCTAGGAATATTTAGGTTTGATTTTTAGGCTTTACTTTTCCCCGAACTCTATAAAATTAATAGTACAGAAAGTAGCTTACTGGTGGTCCATCACATTCATTTGGTACTTTCGGTATTTGCTAAGTACTATCATTTCAGGAGGATGGGTTGTCATTAGCGCAACGGCAGTGGTAAATACTAAATAATATACACATATTCTTATCAGACAACATACATTAATTTATTGTTTTATTGTATACAATTGTTTTATAATATCAGTAATATTATTATATTTATAAATTGATGTACTAGTACTACTAGATTTTTTTATCATTTGTAGTATGAATTTATTATGATTTATTAGTATCAGTAGTATTTGTAATTCTGCTATTTTATTTAAATATTATCATTTCAATAATATTACTGCCCCTTGTTTTACTCCTAGTAATGGCAGTAGAAGTAATAGGAACATTATTGATATTGTTTGATCTTGTATGTTACTGGTGTTGACCCCATTACTGAAGTTGTCATTGTTACTGAATGTAGCATTACTCTCATTTATTATCCAGTCCTTTACACCACCGCCCACGGGATGGGTATGGGGTGCATAATAAAGAAAGAAATTGAATATTATCCAATTATTTTAATTTCATTATTTTTTCTCGAAATTCTTATGAGATATAGCGTCACTTCCACACTGATTGCTTGTGTACTGATGTTCGGTATACTTATGTATCGTATACTGACGTCTCGTATTATATATTTCATATATATTGGCGTCCCATATACAAGAACCTGCCGTTCTCGTCTTGTTGAACCCAGTTATTAATCCCACGCACCCCCCAGCTTTTAAACTTTTTGAACACATGTGTAATTGGTCATCGTGGTTTCTCATGTGTTTTAATAGGTTGCCGTGGCCTCATATATAATAGGTTACCGGGACCTTATATGTAATAGGTCACCGTGACCTCATATGTAATAGGTCGCCGTGACCTCATATGTAATTGATCACCAAGAACTCTGTTAATAGGTAATAGGCCTCCCAGGCCTGATCTGCCGCCTCCTCGGCTTGCTCCTCCTCCCACCACGCACAGAAAAACCCGCTTAGAAGTTAGCGTTGAGGCGCCGCAGATCAAAAACAACGCTGAGAGGCGTTCTCTCTTCGGGATTTACGGCACTCGTAATAACTCAGCAGAATCTCGACCTTCAGGTGAGGGTGACGTGAGGTTCACTCTTGTATTTCCAGCCCTTATGGAATGTCAGGACGTGAGGTGGATGGACGAGCTACAACATCTGAGTTTTCATTATGCTATTCATCTCCCTCACGCCGGGACAAGGAGTATTAGCAGGCGTCTTGTGGAAAACGTTCTTCGGAAATGTCCAGAATTAGTCCGTGTCAGAGGCAGCGACCGGGCCCTCCGGCCCCTGCTTACTCGAACCGGGAGGAGGGAGAGAGGATGGGATGGAGGTATAAGTAGCAAAAACAGAATTAGGTTCTAAGCTACACCTGCCTAATCCCATCCCCGTTTGCTGGTATTTCTGCAACATCCCGTGCCGCCGTAGCTGTCGCCAGCTACCGGCGTATCATTGATAATAATGCACTTGTGTTTAGCTGTTGATACACACGACTAGGGATTGAGAGTAAGCCTGCCTCGTGGAACTATATTACGGGTGATTTGAAAGAACTTGCAGGTAATTTCTGGTCACATCAGTAGTGTAGCCCAGAGTATGGTTGGGGGGGGGGGGGGGCTGTTACGGCTGTCGTTATAGTTGTGTTGGTATATAAATGTCCTGGAGGGAGTTACCCGGCGGTGCCCGGGATAGTCTCTCACTCTCTCTCCCAGCACCCTTCATTCCAACCATTTTCGTCCCCCCCCCCTTCTCCCAAAATCCCCTCCCCCCCCCACCTCTCATCCTTCCCCTCCCATTTGTCCCATTTCCCACCTATCTACCCTCTCCTCTTCCCTCTCATCCCTCTTCATTCCATCTCCTTAACCTCCCCCCCTCTCCCCTCTTTTTCCCCATCTGGCCTACTACCACGAACAGATGCATTTATATATCTCCTAGGCCTACCATAGCATATATATGTCCTATACTAGGCATTAGATGGCCTGTATTAGGTATACGATGGTTAGGTTAGGTTTTGTTAGCAACATGAATGCAAAACCCTTTCCGGTTTGTCCAAATTCCGTAGTACCAAATTTTACTTTCTAATTATCCATTACGTTAATTACTGTACGATGGTCCACATCGGTACTGTAAGTACTATCCAAAGAATATATATATATATATATATATATATATATATATATATATATATATATATATATATATATATATATATAAATATACTTTGTGTGTGTGTGTGTGTTTGTGTGTGTGTGTGTGTGTGTGTTGTGTGTGTGTGTGTGTGTGTGTGTGTGTGTGTGTGTGTGTGTGTGTGTGTGTGTGTGTGTGTGTGTGTGTGTGTGTGTGTGCGTGCGTGTGTGCACATGGTGTTTATGTGGTTGTAAAGCGAGGGTTTTATCAGTCAACATCGCCTTGACAGATTAGGGTGACAATACGGGGCCGCTGTCAAACACGCTGCTTCAGACCAGTACAAAATGACTGTACTGCATATATAAATATATTCTCAAGACAAATAGCTACGTGTGTGTCGCCATGTGGAATTTTTTTTTTTGCCCACAAGCATTTTTATTTTTTATCTAGTTTCAATCGATGCTCTAAAATTTATTCTCTGCGATAGTGGTAAGGTAAATAACAAACACCAACCCGTTTAACTGTTCATCAACTGTTCATTGCTTTGGTGAAATACATCAGCCCATTCTCTCAATGTACTACTCCGCAAAAAATATATAATTGCATTCCACCTAAGCAATCGAAGCCAATGTTGGAAAAAAGTCAATATTACACTGATGTTATTTATACTAGTACGTCACATTTTTAACGAACTCGTCGACTCCGAAAAAAAAATTGCGACATATTAGGTGAGAGAGAACGGGCTGAATACAGACCAAGGCATACATAGCTAAGTACACTTTGGCGCGATAAATTATAATCGATAAGATCGGAATATATCGCTGTGTGTTTGAACTAGGCACCTATAATGAGACTCACTCTATTTATTTTTTTTTAAGACGTATAATTTAGATAACCTCGTGCAAATAAGGTCTTCCAACACTCGTTTATCTCCGGCGATGGTAATGATGATTATTATGTGGTTAATGTGGTTAGTAAGGGTTCTCGTGTAACAGACTTGAAGAACTGTTACTGTCAGCAATTCGCAAGAAAAGCAGGTTAGACAAAATCATTTTAATATATAATGGAATATGAATTTTATACTATAATGTTTAACTTTTCCTCTCCATCTATTTTTATCTAATTCAACTTTCCACCTCCTTCCCTCTCCCTCCATCCTATATCCTATTGCGTTACATGGATTGTACCTGGAGTGAGTTTTGGGAGTTCTTTTACTCCCCAACCTGATGTCTGAAGCCATGCTTGACTTGTGAGAGCTTGGTCCAACAGACTGTTGCTTGGAGCGTTGCGAAGGACCACATACCCTCCAATGAGTTCCAAGAGTCATCAGTTTGTGGGTTCGACCTCTAGCCAGGCCTCCCTGTTATTATTATTATAACATTAAAATATTATATCTAGCAAATATAGTCCCCTAGATGATGCCCAAAATTATACCTTCAGATGGTGCCTAGATTCCCGCCTGTGATTCCTTAATATCAATCGACCAAAGATCAATAAGCAGTATTGCTTATTGCATTTTGATATTTCTTTTTTTACAAATTTAATTACAAAATCGTTTCTGGTAAATAAATAATAAGAAATATTATCATAATTAATAGTATTATTAATAGAAAAATGTAAATATTATTACTTCTAATAGTAAAAATAATAGTAATGCTATCAATAAAAATAGTGGCAATAGAAATAGTAATTAAAATATTAGTAAAAATTTTTATTTCACTTTTAAATATGACATAAAATATTTAATTTGTCCTTTTTCGTAATAAAAATAGTATCATTATTATTATTATTATTATTATTATTAACTAGGGATTAGAATAGTTTACAGCAATTATATCGATGTTTTGTTACATGCAAAAAATAATAAGTAATACATATTTATAATTTTAACAATAACATATTTTTTATATAATTAAAAAAGACCGCTGTATGTCAATTGTATTATTTCTACATTTATCGATAGGATGGCGTTCTGTGATTTACTTATTGTTCGAAACTCGCGATTGTTACAAATTAATTGTATATATATATATATATATATATATATATATATATATATATATATATATATATATATATATATATATATATATATATATATATATATATATATAATCGTTCTGGTTTTTTATATCGATTAAAGGTTGATTGGTTTTCATTACTATAGCGTATATATCGCCAAAGTCTTTATTCGTTTTGCATCACAGTCGCAATATCGCTAAAGGTATAAAATGTTTTTGTTTATCGCAATGCCATGCTTTTTCCCACCTCCCACAGTGGAAAAATAATTAAATCTCTCTAAGTCATTATTTTCATTAATTCTTAAAAGAAAATGTTTAGGGTTCGTAGATTCTGAAAAGAACTGCTCATAAGAATTAACAAAATAGTGCGTACTACCTACTAGCACATGGAAGGAACTTTTTATCACCCAATAGTTCAGTCATGTATCAATCATATTAATAAAAATGATAACTGTGTATATGGTTGTCAAATTCTGTATATGGTATATTACAGTGTTTATCAAGCGGAATGCCGCCGCCATTTCTCAGCGATTCCGCGATAAATATATATATATATATATATATATATATATATATATATATATATATATATATATATATATATATATATATTATATATATATATATATATATATATATATATATATATATATATATATATATATATATATATATATATATATATATATGTCGTACCTAGTAGCCAGAACTCACTTTTCAGCCTACTATGCAAGGCCCGATTTGCCTAATAAGCCAAGTTTTCATGAATTAATTGTTTTTTTCGACTACCTAACCTACCTAACCTAACCTACCTTTTTCGGCTACCTAACCTAACCTAACCTATAAAGATAGGTTAGGTTAGGTTAGGTAGGGTTGGTTAGGTTCGGTCATATATCTACGTTAATTTTAACTCAAATAAAAAAAAATGACCTCATACATAATGAAATGGGTAGCTTTATCATTTCATAAGAAAATAATTAGAGAAAATATATTAATTCACGAAAATTTGGCTTATTAGGCAAATCGGGCCTTGCATAGTAGGCTGAGAAGTGCGTTCTGGCTACTAGGTACGACATATATATATATATATTCCTTGGTATAAACAAATATTTTTGGGACTCTGGCATCGTTGAATCATTTGGAAATACCCGTGATGTGTATCGTATACTATATGGATGCAAATACTGTATATTTTATATATTATGCATGCCGGTACTGTATATTTTATATTGTATGATTTATATACTGTGCATTATACATTATGTGGATGCACTTAATGTATATAATATATTATATGTATATCTATATTGAATAAATTTCTACTGAATTTCATATGGTTTCTTAATTAAAGTTTTCAATACATCAGGTAATACTTGTAGGTCAGCTGCTTATAAGCAGGTATTTGACAGACATGTGGCAGGAATGTGACAGGTATGCCGTAGGCATGTGGTTGAGATATGACAGGCCTGTGACAAGTATGTGAGAGATATGTGGCGGACATGTGGGTTATTTGTAGCGACATTAAGTTTCAATGAAAGTGACAAAGTGATTCACGAGCCATTTATCATATTACAGAATACTAATAACTGAAATAAATAATATGCATATGTATAAAGTATGAACTCGAAAACTGTTTGTATTTTCCTTGTACAGTTGTGAATGTAGAGACGCTATAGCTCTTTGTGTCGGATACGAAAAATATTCGATGAACATAATTCCGGCGTCCGAAGACTCCTCGAGGTCAGTTTTGTAGTGTATTTTCCCGGTTGTCATGGGTTTCGGGCATGTTTGAGGGGGAGAGGGAGGGATGATAGGACTGGTAGGGGGAGGGGAGAGGAAGGGGACGGAGAGAAAGGGGGAAGACAGAGTGGAGGGGGGATGGGAGAGAGAGAGAGGGGGGGGGGTATTGTGACCCGCAGGGTAGTAATGG